TTGACCCATTTTAGGACAGTCTTGTAACGAGGGCAACTCGATAAGTATTTACACAATGGGTGTAACTGAAGTACTCTTCATTATAAAAGCGATAGAGTGTTACATTAAGTACATTTTATATTTTATCTTAAGTATGTAATATATTACAATTATTTTCTTACATATTATATATATTAATCACTCTTTTTGTTCTAATAATTGATAATAAATAAGTTAGTATAATTTGATTGGGACTATTCGATCAAGTTATGTTATAGGAGTGGGTAATTTAATCTAAATGAATCATGTCATTGAGTTTGTTGGCCTGATTTGAATTTTTTATTTGAATAATTTAGAGTGATGATAAAATAGTATATGTTTATATATTTTTTAATTATTTATAATGCACACATAAATTGTAAAATCAACTACTCGAATTCAAAAACTTCAAAGATAATAACACTCATTTTAACGACCGATGTTATTGAATAAGTTCCAATTTATATTTTTTAACTCGTAGGTAAGTTGATGAATTAAATTGTAGAAATATATTTCGAAATTTTTTGATTTGAAAAGTTATCTATCAGGTTGTTCCGATAATTAATTTATAAATGTAATGAAAAATTGGTGGCGTGAGACTGTTAGTTATTAGAATTTAAATTAATATTTATATGTTTTTATACTTCAATTTAAATAAAACATTTTTTTTAATTATATGAGTTAGGTGCAGGCTAAAAAAGCATACTCACATTCGACCAAAATCAGATAAATTAGACCAAGTGAATTGGACATCCATCGTATTAACTCATAAATTTTGCCAATTTTTTTTTCTGTTTATAAATTTAGAAAACAATAATGAATCCAACTTTTTATGATGCAAAAGAAGTCAATTATAGAAATGAAAATTGGGATTAAAGGGCTTTTTTTATTAATTATTTATTTTTGATTAATTAATTAATTAATCTAAATTAGATATCATAGAGATAATGATAACTCTTTCAATTCAATTTATCCGTAAATATCAAAATTTAAAATCTTAACTTTATTTAATAAATCTAATGTTTCATATCATTAGATCAACCAATTAATGATAATTAAACGGCTCTTTGGTTTAAGATTTCAAGCCGTAAGGATTCTGACATTTGCATTGATGAGCAAAAATGTGGTAAGTAAGGCGCATATAGGGGTATGTTGTAAATGAGACGAGATAGATCGTGAATTATTTGAGATTAACCCGATCAATGTTCGATAAATACTCGGATCGAATAGACTCGACTTGAGCTCGAGCTCGAGCTCGACTCGAGTTCTTAACGAGCTGAAACGAGCTACTCGATATTTGACTCGAAAAGCTCGTGAGAAGCTCGAAAATATAATATATTAAGATTTTATTTAAAAAATAAATTAATAATAATATTAATATTTATGTTTGATTTTTTTTTAAAAATACAGTAAGATTTCATGTATTTAAGGTTCATGTTCGAGTTTGAGTTTGAGGCTTCAATCGAGTTAAGTTTAAGATTTTTTTTTTCATTTCGAGCCTTTTCGAGCTGCTCACGAGCTTCAATTCAAGATTTCGAGTTCGAGTCGAGCTTGAAAATTTTAAACTCGCGAGTTTTCGAGTCGAGTCGAGCTCAATTTCAGAGTTTTCGAGTCGAATCGAGCTCAGCAATACTCAAACTCGTCTTGGCTCGTTTACACCCCTATTCAGGGATGATTAAAAATAGTTATCTTTAAAAATTTTAAATTATAATAAATTTTAATTTTTTAATATGTTTTTGTAATAATTTTTATATATATTTAAAAATTTTATAAATTTATTTATCCTAATATAAGATTATTTGTTCGTTTTTTTAAATAACGAATAATATTATCATTGGCTTTGCTCCCTTTACCTAAAGTCTTATATGATGATAAATCATGTTTGCATGTGGTGGTGGGTCATCTTAATGTGGAATAGACCACCCATGTCCCTACTTGTCTGAGACCCAAAGATGTCACAAATCCTGATGAAATAATTCGTGTAGGTAGGCCAAGGCCCTATTTTGTTTTATCATTTTTAATATAACTATATGAAAAGAGGAACAAGCAGGAGACGTTAGCTATTGATTATTAGAATGATTCATTTAGATTAAATACTCAAATACCCTACAATCGTTGATGCTCAAACTTGAAATCTCTAGAGATAACAATTATATTTTAACCACTGAAGTCACTTGATTCATACAGTATAAAATAAATTTCGTTAGGAAATGGACCTAAGACGACGTGGTGGCCTATCATCGTTATATGAAGTTAATCGATTTCTTTTATAACCGAGAACGTGAGGTATTATAGGACAAAGCCCATGAATAATGATATTACTGGGCTGGGTCTTGACATATTGTTTATAATTCGGATCTCCTGCTTGAATATAGACATAAAATAGGAATATCATGCCTGAACCGGTGGAGGTTTTATTATTATTATTATTATTATTATCCACTTTTATGTGCCATTAATTGTTTATATGAAATATTAACGAAATTCGAGGATAGATTAAAGTTGTTTGTGAAAATTCTTTTATAATAATATATTAAATAATATTTTATATTTTAATTTGATGAAAGCTAACAATTTATATAATATTGTGTTAATTTTAATAGTGTTAAAAAACATCGTTAATTAAAAATATATTGACGCTATTTATTTTATCTATTGGTATAAAAAATAGAAAGTTCAAAAATATTTTGAAGATAAAATATTATAAAATTATAATATATATATATTATTAAATTTTATAATATATATATAAATTATAAAATTACAATACACTGATTAGGTGCTGCTGCCATGTCAGCTTGGATGAGCATGTAAATTTTAAGTGTAATCAGTTAATTCTTTTTCTCATATTTTCTCTAATTAATATATTATAAGATCTCAAATTACATATTAATTCAAAATCTCATTGAATAATTTAAAAAATAATATAATTTAAATCTGATAACGATAATGTCCACATCTTAACCATTAAAAATTAAATGACAAAAACCCTATGTGTGCTTACCATAGCAGCGTTAGTCATATAAATTTGATAGACGTATGATTAATGTGATAGGAAGAAGGTAGGAAGCAAGCAAGGAGCGTGCATTGATTTAAATCATAATGGGTGGCTGCTTGTAGATGGGTAAGTCAAAACCTGCACGTTCATTTTGCTTAAATATTGCTAAACATGCCATGAATGCAAAGTTATATAAATAATCACACTAAGGGAGTAGTGCCACATATGATACTTAGAGTTTAAACACTTATACTTCAATAAAAAATGTATTGTGTTATTTGAATCGATATTTTGTGTATTATTATATTACTTTTAAGTTTTTATTAATATATTTAGTACTTATCAACGGTCTTAATCTAGATACAATAATGATATACAAAAGTTATAGTTTATGTATAATACTCACTAACGGTGTTATTCCAAATACCATAATAATGCCAAAAAAAAAATAGTTCATATATCATATTCGACATTTTGACAAAGTCATGTACCATATTGGGGATTTTAACAAAGTACATGTACCATATTAGCATTTTATTAAAGTTCAAGTACAAGGACTAATCTACATGGTGCTTGAATTCCAAATTTTTTGGTATAACAGTATTTTAGTTTTTTTTTTAATTTAAACTTTAGTTAGATACAACTTTTGTCCCTCTCCATTTTCAGATTTAAACGCTTAGGCCATCTCCGGCACTCATCTCTACTCTAAAGATGAAACAATAATTTATCTCCAGCACTGTCTCTACATTACCGCTAACTCTACTTTATTCATAATATTTAACTATTATAATATTGATTTTACAAATATAAAATAAAACTTATACATTTCTAATAAAATTTCAAGATAAAAAGCATAAATAAAACATTCATAAATAACATTGGGAAATAAAAATAAATAAGAAAATTACGATTCATAATAATAATGCGAAAACACATAAGTTACATAATTATATATTTTAATTCTCCGAATTAGAATATTCATTCCACAAATTAACAAAACAAAAAGAAAATAACAAAAGAATGTAAGAATAAAAAAACCAAAAATCAAAAGAAAAAAATAACATAGATACAGTGCAACGCCAGTTGTAACGTGCACTGTAGCCCGACGCCACAATCCAACATAACAATGGCGATGGGCTGGAGCATAGAATCATCTCCAAAGTGGAGATGAATACCACTCCAGCGATGCGCTGGAGATGACCTTAATAAATTATTATTTTTTGAGATAACACTATATTACTCCTTTAACACTCTTTCTTGATATTTGATAATGATGAATAGTATATTGTATGCGAATATTTATGACCTTGCCCTTGTATATAGATTATGATACATGCTCAATAGATTAAATTCTATTTTTGAGTTTAGTTTAATTTTTTTTATTAATTTAGGGTGATTATAAGATAATATATGTTTTAAAGATTCTCAATCATTTGACAATGAAAGTTTACACCATTACCGTCTTTGGTACTCAAATATGAGATCTTCAAGAATAACAATCAATCATTTAACCACTGAAGTAAATCGATTCGTACGAAGCTTAATTTAGATTTATTACGCTAAACTATTTATATATTCTGATTTTATTGACATAGTTCATATATTCTAGTTTATTAGTTCAAATTCGGTTAGAGTTGTATAATATTTAATGCAGTTATTCTTATCATTTTTTGAGTTATATTGTAAGTTGAAAATGAAATAAACATGAATGAAGAAAGGAGCAAATTACGGTAAACGATGTATTATACATATTGGGGTCCAACTCATGTATGTAGAAATGTGTAGAAAATGTCCAACTTAGGTATTGAAAAACAGAGAAAAGCCACACATCTCACGGCTAATTTGGTGCTACTTTAACATGATTACATGGCTCCTCCCCACCTCTACTTTTACGTATAAAAAATAAATCTTGGCAACCCCTTTTAAATGCGAATCTTGCGCTCTTCTTTTATTTAATGCTTGTGTTCCCCCCCCCCCCTCTACATCAAAACAATGGCTGGCTGGTTACTCTCTCTTTGCTTTACTCTGGTTTTCTCTCTGTGTGATGCCTCTCGGACGCCACCCGCTTCACCAGCACTCGATGGTAAATACTCAACTTTGCTACCCTAGCTGCTTTCTTTCGGACATTATGCTAATAACATGAGCTTTTTGTTCAGGATTTTTGAGGAACGGTAACTTCGAGAAAGCACCGAAGCAAGAGAAGCTGAACAAAACAGTGATCATGGGGAAATACTCACTTCCAGGATGGGAAATCGAAGGCCTGGTGGAGTTCGTATCGGGAGGGCCTCAGCCTGGTGGGTTTTACTTCCCTATTCCCCGTGGTACACATGCGGTGAGGCTGGGCAATGAGGCTTCCATCTCTCAGAATGTGGATGCGAAGCCTGGCTTCCTTTACTCCATCACATTTGGTGCCACAAGGACTTGCGCCCAAGACGAGATGCTCAGGATCTTGGTGCCTGGTCAAACCACCGACATCTCCATTCAGACCCTTTACAGCACCGATGGTGGTGACACCATGGCTATTGCTTTCAAGGCAACGGATAAGTCGGTGAGGGTCACATTCCATAACCTTGGGGTTCAAGAAGATCCAACTTGTGGACCTCTGTTGGACGCCATTGCCATCAAAGAAATGCCTCCTCTAACTTATACACCAGGTATTTTTTGAATAGTCTTTTGTTAAACGACGTATAGTGCAGCCAATCTGCTCACCTAGACGTTCTTATTCTTCTTTTATTTTTGGGTAGAAAATAGATAGATCCCATTAATTAGTGCATACTGATTTATTAATTGGATGCAGTTTTGTTTTGAAGGAGCCTCCCATTAATAAGGGGAAAATAAAAATAATAATAAAGTAGGTGTAGCTTGCCTTTTAACGAGGGAGTTTGAATAAATGTGCACTGTTCTAGTTTACTAAATACTAGAATTGATTAGAAAAGTAAGTCTATATATTTTCTAAAATTAAAGGTATAATGACATAATTAGTTTTAAATATTTATCTAAATAATCATTTTGACTCTTATTTGTTTAGAACATTTAAATTTGTAACATTTTAATTTTTGATTAAAATAATCTTCATTTGATGAAAATCGTTAATTGATGCTGACATAGGATATACACATGTGTTTAGTTAGTGATGTGACATATTATATCATCATTTAGATAACATGACACATGTGACATTATCACTTTGAATGATATAGTACATGTTATATCATTTTTTTTTGAAAACATAACATGCGACATGTCAACAATTAAACACAAATGAAAATATTACGTTAGTAATATGTGTTAACCGTTAATTAATTAATAATTTCTATCCAATATGATTTATTTTGATCAAAATTAAAATATTGAAGTTAAAATGCTTAAAAGGAAATAATATGGATAAAAGTGATCATTTAGATAAACATTGAATACTATTTTTGTCATTATGCAAAATTAAAACATACAGATGATTATACTAAAGATGCTTTTTCCGGGTAAGTTTTAATGTGGATTCGCATTTTAATCGTCATGGTATATTGAATATTTTATGTGCATAAATGACATAATATTTGATCCATATGGATACTGAAATCCGAATTCACCTAATTGACATCACAGGAAACTTAGTAAAAAACAGTGGTTTCGAGACAGGTCCCCATACGTTCAAGAACTACTCAACAGGGGTCCTCCTGCCTCCGCACAAGCAAGACAACATTTCACCACTCCCTGGATGGATCATCGAGTCCCTGAAGCCCGTAAAATTCATCGACAAGAAGCACTTCTCGGTCCCATCGGGGCTGTTCGCCATCGAAATGGTTGCCGGAAGAGAGAGCGCCATTGCACAAGTCATCAGAACAGTTCCCAACAAACTCTACACACTCAGTTTCACCGTAGGAGATGCCAAGAACAACTGCCATGGATCAATGATGGTCGAAGCCTTCGCCGGCAAGCAAACTCTCAAAGTCCCATACGTATCTCAAGGAAAAGGAGGATTCAAGACGGCAAGTTTTAAGTTTCAGGCAATCTCATCTAGAACAAGGATCACATTTTACAGTGCTTACTACCACACCAAGTTGGACGATTTCGGACATATGTGCGGGCCTGTCTTAGATGATGTCGAGGTTGTCCCCGTCTCTTAGTCCGAAACCACTCCGATCACGGCATCAACTAGTTTAATCAATACAGATATTCAAAGTACAAGTTTTATTTTGCATTGTGAAACAACTTTTTTTTCTGGGTTGAGTTGGGAGGTTTCTTATAACTTTTGAGTATGAACGAGTCATTGGAGATTAGTCATAGTAGCTTCTAATAACTTCATTAAGACTGTTTTTTACATGTTTAAGTTGCATTAGTGTGGAATCCATTATATTAGGGTCATTGCCAAGTTTATTTCTGCATCCATGAATGATGATTACGTTTCAATTACTCCCCCCCCCCTCACTTGAAGTCTAAAAATTTAATTAGTAATTAATAATTATTGGAAATTTAACTTTTATCCAACAATTTCTTTTGGTATTGTTTGTTTAACTGAAAACGGATTTTAGAAAATTTTCTTAAAATGAATTATATTTTCCGTAAAACAATGCATGGTGGATGACCGACAATTACAAAGCAAAGGGTTTTTAATTTTAAAATTTTTATGAACGAAATTACATTCCATAAATTTTTAAAGAGTGTTTCGGCTCATTCAAAAGGGAGGGGGGCTCAAGTTTGAGTCATCAATGTGAGCAAATATTTGCAAATTTAGAAACTTCTGGGTTTATTGTTCATCGATCAATGCCTTCGATCTTGTCTTCAACTTCAGAATACAACTGCCTCAACTTCTCAATATTCTCCTCCGAAGTTTCCCAGTAACCACGTCCGTTGGCCTCTAGGAATGTTTGCACCAACTTCCTGAATGAGTTGGGATTGGTGCTCATCAGCCGGTTCAACATGTTCTCGTCTTGAATGAAAGTCGAATTAGCCTCCTCGTAAACCCAGTTGTCCACTTGTCCCGAAGTAGCACTCCACCCTACCGTATTAGTAAGGCGCTTCTCGATTTCGCGAACTCCTTCATATCCACTGGACATCATTCCTTCGTACCACTTTGGGTTCAACAACTTGGTTCGTGCATCTAGTCGCACGGTTTCAGACAGAGTTCGAACCTGTTAAATTAGAGCAAAATATGATTTTTGAGGCGTATTAATGGTAATTAGAGCTGTAGAATCAGCCTAAAACCTGGCACGTATAGGAGACTATCCTATAACATTCAGAGAAATGTTGTGTGTTGCATACCTGAGCGTTCGCAGTCGTAGTGTCTGCAATATATGCACTCGGCTTCTTTCCATCCTTCCTTAGGTTTTGTACTAGATTTGTTGGATCGGAATCGAAGTAGTGGCTCACATCGGTGAGTGAAATTTCTGAGGAATCGAGATTCTGGAAAGTAGCTTCAGCTGTGCTTAGCGCCATCTCGAAGACTTTCCTTTTCTCGGTCATACCTGCACCTGGGGCATCACAGTCAAAAGCAAATGATTTCCTGCTCAAGTACATATCTTGGAGCTGTTTCTCATCATTCCATGAGGAGTTCTCAACAGCAAGGTTGACATTGGAAGAGTACGATCCTGAAGCGTTGGAGAAGACCCTTGTTGCAGCTTCTCTAACCTCGATTCCCAGGGCTTTGGCTTGCTCTAATGCGTGCTTCCGTACATAGTTCTGCTCCACTGGTTCATCTAATTCAGCTACCATCTTCACAGCTCGGTCAAGGAGGTTCATCTGTCAACTCAAATAGGAAATAAGAGAACGGAATGGTAAGAAAAGACACGGCAAATGGTAAGAAAAATATGACATCTAATCATGAATTACTGAATGCATATTTGAGACCACTTTAAACATACTAGGAGCAGTACCTGATTAATGAATAGATCTCTGAAAAAAACTCCGGAGCAGTTAACAACAACGTCAATCCTTGGTCTGCCAAGCTCTTCAAGGCTAACTGGCTCAACTCTGTTGACTCGACCAAATGTATCAGCCACCGGCCTTACTCCAATCATCCACAATACCTGAGCGAGTGACTCGCCGTAAGTTTTGATATTATCTGTTCCCCATAATACAAGCGCAATTGTCTCCGGATATTTTCCCCCATTGTCAACCTTTTGTCTTTCAACCAACCTGTCTACCACAATTTTTGCACTCTGCAATGCAGCTGCTGTTGGAATAGCTTGTGGATCCAATGCATGAATGTTCTTTCCAGTTGGCAACACTTTCGGGTTTCGAATAGGATCGCCACCAGGCCCAGGTTCAACGTATTTTCCCTCTAATGCTTGTTTCAGACTGCCCAACTCGTTATCAGCAACAATCAGCTTCAAACACTCCCCTAGGAACTCAAACAATACCCTAAGCTTTTCCTATCAGCACGGTAAAATTTGTTTCTGTAAGTGCTGAATCCAGCTCATTGATACCAAACCCGAGGATCGAGGTTAACTTATCAGCCACATCAACAACTTGACCCTTATTGTGGTTGTTCGCACAAAGGAAGAAATTGCCCCACGTGAGGCGTCAATAATTTGCCGCAGAAGCTCTACATCCTTCAAGATACCTTTGTCACTTCCTCTGTACACATCTTCTATGTTTCTTCCAACAGACTCAGCTAATATGGCTGGCAGTGACAAAATTCCATCTTCAGGTCGGTCTAAAGCTGCAATGTTCACCAAGTTGCGACTGCTTCCATAGCAGATGGAGGCTCACCGATAACATGAAGCCCACAGGGTAACAGTCGGGACTCAATCTCCATGATCTTGGAATACACTTTCCCAACAACAAGATCGCGTTCTTTCGCTGAAATTTCCTCTCCCTCTTCAGGAAGGTTTACATCCTTGTCAAGATTGCATTGTCTGGCCGTGCTGATGATCGAATTAACTATTTGTTGCCCACGACCCGAGTCTTTAAGGGACTGGTATGAGGAGATCAGCTCACTCAGTTGCTTAAGTCCCTTGTAGAGCCCAGCATTTTCAGCCGGAGGAGTCAGATAGCTAATAGTATTAGCATAACTACGACGCTTAGCTATCGTAGCTTCAGAGGGGTTATTAGCAGCATAATAGTAGACATTGGGAATGTTCCCAATAAGACTATCAGGGAAACAAACATCACTCATTCCCACCTGCTTTCCAGGCATAAATTCAAGGGATCCATGAGTACCAAAATGAAGAACAGCATCAGCTTTGAAGATCTTCTCAACAAAGGAATAGTACGCCGCAAATCCATGATGTGGGCTAGCTGATTTTGAGAAGAGTAATCGCATAGGATCCCCCTCGTAACCAAAAGTGGGCTGTACTCCAATGAAGACATTACCATACTGCTTTCCATACACCAAGAGATTCTCTCCATCAGAATTCAAATTTCCCGGAGGCTTACCCCAGTTTTCTTCCAAAGCAGGAGCATAAGGAGTGAGGTTCTGGTATTCACGGACGCTCATTTTATAAGCAACATTAAGGTTTGGGCTGTTAAATTGTGCCTCCTTGTCATGAATTACATCTTCAATTAAAGCTTCCGCAGTCTCTGGAAGACCTTCAACACTGTAACCATCTTTCTGAAGGTCTTTTAAAACCGAATAGATGGAAGCAAAAACATTGAGGTAGGCAGCGGTGCCAATGTTCCCTTTGTCGGGAGGGAAGCTGAAGACAGTGATTGCTAACTTCTTCTCAGTCTGCAGGGATAATACAAATACAATTACCATAACGAACAAAACCAAAAGAGCGCATGTGTGCTAATCGACTGTAATACACTGCCAATAGCAACAGAAGATTCTCCAGCTTTACCACATTGTAGGTCATGGAATGTGAAGAAAGAAAACAGGATATTGTAGTTTCAATCATTATCAACATCAACACATCTAAGCAGGATGGCCTATTGAAGATGTATATGCATATGCATAGTAATTAAAGATACCTTTTAGATTAAAGGCTGAACAGTAGATTTAATAAGTGTCATAAGTGGATCAGATAGACATTGTATCCTTAGTCATTAAATACACACACACACATATATATACTCCCTAGACTCATAAAGCTATTTGGTTTGGAGCTATGCTCTCATGGAAAACAGTTACCTTTGATTTCCTTTCAACTCAGCCCACTTGATAGCTCTAGTGCAAAGCTGTTCCACCCTCTTGTGAAGAGCATGGGATTTCCTGAAATCAAAGTCAAAGCACCATTTTATTTAACTCCTCATTAACCAAAACTATGCACCTAAAATCAAACAAGTTCAGACAATAAAAAGGCAAAACGAAACATTAAGTATGAGTAGTAACAAAAAGGGTAACTTCACTTGCCTGTTCTAGGATCACGGCCAGAGAAAACTATAGGTTCCATGCCTCCGTCAAGCTGGAAGGGCCACTTGGAGAGCTACTTGAATAGGATGTAGTCCCAAAGTACTGTTTAGCCACTCCTCGGTTGTTTGGAAAACCAAAGGCAGTGCAACAATGTAAGGAACATCGAGCTTCATAAGTGCCTCAACGGCCCTTGGATGGTCCTGCCTAGCCGGTCCACCGACTAGAGCAAAGCCTGTCAATGAAACCATGAGTTCACCATTGGTTTCTTGGTAACTGGATCGATCAAGAACCTTTCAACTGGTCCAGAGAAATCAAGTCCACCGGCGAAAATTGGTATCACTTTTGCCCCTTTTGCCTCTAACTCCATAATCACAGCTACATAGTGGCTCTCATCACCGGTAACAAGTGACTCCTTTGCAAAACCAATCCAAATCGGTGCGCCAGCCCCCTAAGCTTCTCGTCAACATCCCTTCTCGTACCATACCAATTCAAATACTCCTTCACATCATATGCAAGGAGCCAGCGGGTGCCAAATTCCACTGTCTAAGAACAAAACTGGGTCAGAATAGTCAACCTTTGTCCCTTTGAGTGCAGGCACATAAGAGCTAGAAATCATTTTCAAGAAATTCTGAGATTATCAGGTGAACCACCGAGCCAAAACTGGAGACTCAATATGTAAAGCCTAGCATCTTGTGCCTTGTCACTAGGCAAGTATTTCAAAACCTTAGGCAATGTCCTCACTAGCTTCAACATGCTATCAGCAAAGCCTGCTCCTTGCTTTCTCTTGAATAGCTGGAAAAAAGGACTCTTCGATTGACCAAGCTGTGACATGCTAAAAGAACCCAACTTGTTTAGCCTCATCACTTCAGGCATTGAAGGGAACACCAAAACAGCATCAAGCCTATCCCTTTCTTTCTCCACTGCAGCCTTCACTTTCAGGGCAAGCTCCTCAACGAAAATCAAAGACCCAATAAAGATATTTGCGTCT